AAAAAAAAAAAAGAGAAAAAAGCGCCACGAAATAGCGACTAAACACAGGAGCAGGAGAAGGCTGGAGTACCGAGCCCCAAGGGTCCCCGTGCCCCCATGTCCCGTCTCCAGCTGGAGCCAGGGGCAGATGCTGCCAGAAAACCGGTGCAGGAGAGAGGGCGAGCGCAGGGTGAGCCTGCCTGTCCAGCACCCTCCCAGCCCCCCACGCAGAGGCGTAGGGGCTGAGCGGCGAGACCAGGCAGCAATACATTAACTTTTCTCAAAAGGCCTAGTACCACAAAGGCACTCATCCTAGCAGGTATTTTTGGCTTCGGGACCTGATCTGTGCTACATTTTTCATCCTCAATTAATTCCCAGTGTCCCAGCACCTCTGCTGCTCTCCAGCCTTCAAAGCGGTTAGTTGCCTCTGTGAATCGTATGCCCTGTTGGCTTGGAAGAAATGCTGAGAAATTTCAATGACTGAAAAATCAAAAGGCTTGTCTAATACAACAGCACCCTCTTCCAAACACACTGACATTGTAATGTTTAAACAGCTGCATTGTACCGTGCAAAAGCTCTGTCAAGCCGCAGAGCAGCCAGCATGATCTAAACCTTCAGAAAGAGAGGATAAATATTTCTGATTTCCGCCCCACGAGCATGCGAATTGTCCAGGCCCCTTCCATCTAATAATCAAAACTGACTGTGAAGTGAAATAACCTGGAACAGTTCTGGTTTCTCTGAGAGAAAAAAAAAAAATAAAAAAAAATTCACAAATGTACGAACATCTGGAGATGACTAAAAGCACAGAGGGCTTCTGGATGGAAGATACACGATTGTGTACCCAGTAGGTGAAGAATGAATTTGTCATTGATAGCCACAATGCAGCTGCCTGTTGTACATGTCTTCCTTAGTGGCTGCAGCCAAAGTTCACAGAACTAACATGAAATTTAGGAGTTAAAAGTCATTTTAACAATTCTGTAATAGTATCCTACTGCTAGGGAAGGGGCAACACCATCCAGAGCTATTCTTCAGCGACCGGCTCAGAGTGATGCAGTTTCTGCTCATTCTCTGTGTTTAAAAAAGCCAAGAAGAGAGAGTGGGAGCATTTGGTACGACAGGTCAAGTTACTGCTGCGCGCTCCGTTTCCTGACCCAGGTCCCTGTTCAATAAAGGTTCAGGATGGTGCTGTGGCTTGGGTCAAACTTGTAAAAGTTGTGCGCAACATAATACAACGTAGACGCGATAGAAAACTCGCAGCTCTCTGTTTCTGCTGTATAAGGGCCTCTGCTAACGCTCAGTGATGTCACTCCCAGTTTTGCTCCTGGTTTCCACGGGCTTTGAATCGGGCGTGAAGAGTGGAGGTGCAAATCCATCTCCCCTTGGCCCCGGGTGGAAGCAGGCTCCTGGCGCGCAGCCGGCGCGGGGACAAACCCGGGACTTCTCCCACCTCTGCAGTGCTTTGCCTTCCCAAGGTGTCACGTTTTGAAGCCCTGTTTCTTGATGCCTGTTACAAACTGTAACATTATTTCTCTTCTCCTCATTTTTGGGTTTTTGTTGTGTTGTTCTTTTTTTATTTTGGTGGTAGGCAAAACGAAGATAATGAAGAATTTTTGCCAACTGGAGAAACCTCCATAGACTCCTACCCAAACTGGTTAAAATTCCACATTGGCATTAATCGGTACGAGTTGTATTCCCGACATAATCCTGCAATTGAGGCTTTACTACAAGACCTGGTCTCCCAAAAGATAACCAGTGTTGGTATGTTCGGATATATATCATTTTTTATGATTATTTGCTTATTGTTCAGGATCTCGTTGCTGTTTGAATATTAATGAATATTTTGCATGGCTTCTCCCCGGCCTGCCTACAACATTGCTTCCTGACTTCTGCGCTCATTTTCCCTGTTAAACATAACGAGATATTGCCAGCTCTGTATTACCTGAATAATTGCAAAGTCTGCCAGCAAGGCAAACCCCATTCATTCCAGAGATCTCTTAGTCACGATCAGGCTGAAAGTGACCTACTCAGTTCTTGAAAATAAATATGATAATAAAAAGAAAAAAAGGATGGCAAAAAAGCAGACAGCCTCTTGCACGAGCTAGATTTCTGTTATTAGCTGATTGTTATTTAAAAGGCTGTGTCTGGCAGCGTTCATCTTCCCGAGAGAGGCGGCTGACCTGCAGCCCTGCGGCGATGGCTGCGGGAGCATCCGGCACCGCGGGGCTCTGCGGAGCTGCAGCTTCCCCGGGCGTCGCGCAGGGAGCTCCAGGCAAGCCAGCCTCCCACTGAGCAGAGTTCAGCTCTGTTTATTCTGCTTGTAAATCCACGACGGGGATGTGCCCATGTCAACCTTTGGCTCTGGTTAAACAAGGTGACACAGTTCGGGGCTTTTCTCCAGGGCTGTTTAATGACAACGCGTGTCCCCTTGAATTTAGCTGCCTAGCGAGGGGGGGGGGAAAACCCCACACCCCTAAACAAAAGCCCTGGGATACTAAACAAATGCACAGCCCGTGGTTTCCAGAGGTAGAGAGCTGCAGCACAGCCAGCGGTTTCCGGCGGCCGCACAGAAAATGAAGTTACTTGCGCTGACCACAAAGTTGCTAAGTCCGTTTCGGAGGGATGAAATAGCCGGAGCTCTGTAAAAGTGCTGATGGTGTGTTGGCACCGCGGGATGAGGTCAGCAGGTCTTTAACCCTGCTAGGCAAAAATTCCCCTGGCTTCAGAAGGAAACGGCCTGTGCAAGAATAGCACGAGCAGCCCTAAGGTTTACATTTTCCATCGTGTGAATCACAGCGGCTGCTGAGCAGGGATAAGGAGATCCTGGGTCACCAAGAGTGGGCTGGTTTGGCTGGTCCGGATGGAGTAGGTGTAAAATGCAGGGTGCCACAGGAGAGCTTCGCCTCCGTGAATCGAGCTGCCCTGGGGCTGTACTGGGCACAGGGCTCAGCTCTGAGCTCTGCTGGGGCAGGGTTGGGGATAAAGCGGTTTGCGGTACCCAGGTGCCGTCCCACGTGTTGGATTCGGGGGTCCGTTGGACACCCAGCTCATGACAGAGGACAAACACAGGCTCGTTTATTAACCTATCATGGGTTTTCTGTCCCCAAAACTCTGATTAATTAAGGAGCTCAGATGTACTTGAACCCCATGTATGGTCCCTTCCGTAGCTGAGAGGTGACACCGCAGGTAGCGGTGGGCTCTGCTCTGCGCTGGAGGGGAACGGGGGCAGAGTCCTGACATGGCCCGGGTGATTGTCTCCTTGACATAGCCCTCCCCTTTCCTGACCTCTCCTCTCAATACCAACCAGTTTCTGGAATATTAGTGACACGTGTGAACGGGGATTGAGCCAGCACTTTGTGACACATGGGCTAACGTTGCTCTTTGAGCACATCCATTAAGGAGGAAAAGATGGAGGCTGTGCCCTTCCCTGCCCCCCCGGCTGAGAGCAGCAGTGACCAGGCTGTGCCCAGCTCTGTGCAGAGGTGATGCTCGACCAAACCACCTCCTGGCTTATCTGTTGAGGTGTACGCAGAATGCATCGGCCGTAGCGGTGTTTTGTACTGCACGGCTGCTAAGTTTATCGATCTTCGTTTACCTCTCAGAGCTCAGCGGTGGTGTCTGTGCGGGAGGAGAGCAGTGTTTCCAGCAAACTCGGCAGCGTTCGAGCCGTGAAGTCTGTCACTTTTGCAGAGCAGTGGGATGGTTGAGGTTGATGTAGGGACGTAGAAGCTGGTGGGAGAAAAAGGGAGGTAGGATGAGAAATAATGGTTTAGTAATCACTCCTCACTTGGTCTGCTGGGCTTGATCTTCACTTGTGCTTCTGGGCACGTTGCGTAACCTCTCTATGCTTCAGTTAACCTAGCAGCAAAATGGTTATCGTAAAAAAGTAGGAGTGAAATCCTGACCCCGGTGACGTAAGTGGAAGTTTTGCCATTTACTTCCCTGGGGCCATGATTTCACCTAACGTGTCATGTAGATGTGCTGCGAGGTTTCCATTAATTAGGATTTTGATAGAGCTTTCAGATCAACGGTGGGGAAAGGGCCATGGGACCGCAGAGGAAGATTTATGATTGTTATTAGCAATTTCCTGTGGGATTATCTCTCTGTTAATGTTTGAACAAGGCCCTTCAGAGCACGGTAGGGCCTCTTACACCTCTAACAAAAGCAGAGCGCCATGGTTTCTGTCGATGGTTCGGTATGGTTTCCATACGCTAAAATGTGAGGTACGTTTGGTATCAATTGCTGTGAGAGCTGACAGGGAATGATTCCTACACATAAATCCCAGTCTAAAATCAAGCGTACGGAAATGGAAGGGGACATGTAGAGATGCCAGGATCTGAATTTTGCTGGTGGCATCCATTGTTTGCCTCTGGGGGGGTTCAGGAGCTTTCACTCAGGTTGCAAGGCAAGAAAGAGCATATTGTTAATATACTTTTTTTTTTTTTTTAATTGCACAGTGCAGCATCTCTTATTTTATGTTGAAAATTCTTTGGGTGTTTAAAAATATATTTTTTAAAATAATACCTGCCAGTTTTCAGCTTTGCTGCAGAGCAGCAGGAGAGATTCAAAAGCATGTAAGCTGTTTAATAGAGAGCAATGTATTTGACCAAAGGACATTTATAGGGCTGTTACATTCTTTTGCATATTCCTGCAGATCTTCTAATTCGTCTGGGTTTTTTTCTTTATGGTCAATTTTTGTTGTTTTGCTTTTTGATTTCTTTTTTTTTAAGGCAGCTGCAAAGATACCAGGTTAGAAGTATAAAATAAATGGAAATCTTAATAATGTCCAATCTTTTTTGCAAGCAAGACAATTAAATATACAGGCTTACATACATTAGATGAAATGGGATATTGCTTTATCCAGTTTCTTCCTAGTGTTCAGATTTGCTTTGGCTCTAATAGAATTACGTGATTTGCTGTGCAGGTTCTTGATACCTACAGTAATTAGATCCAAACTGCAGCTAAACAGCTTTCTTAGCCACACTGTAATTTCTCCGCTCGGCTTGCATTATTTATGGAGGAGAGTGGTGACCAGATTGATCCCGTGCCATCTATCAGAACCGCTCACACAACTCTGTAACGTGCGGTGTTATTTTAAAATGAAAACGGTGACAGAAGCAATTCCCAAGAGCAGGGAGCACCAAGGTGACATTTTCTTGATGTTAAAGTTTAAATGGAACAAATCCATGGATGGGAAAGAGCATCACATTCAGCTCCCACAGTGACACCTAGAGCTGGTCTTGAAAAGGACAGGGTTACCCAGACCTTTCAAGCTGGGGATGTATTCTGTGCCCTGCATCAATGTATATATATAGATGTATATTTCCTATTCATTTTGTTCAGCATAAAGGGATAGCTCTTAATTTGATTTAATTCACTGAAAAGTTCCTCTTGCCGTAAATAGGAGCCTAGAGAGAATTGGTTTTCCACTGAGCACTGAAACCCAGTTTTCAGAAGCAGCACATGCACAGGCAATTGCACGTCTCCTTTGCCTTTCCTGCCTGTTTATTGCGTGCATAAATACCCACAGTTAGCTATTTTCTTTCATATTTACAAGATGTCTGTGCATAATTGTAGCAGCACTGTCAGCAGTTTAACAACGAAGATGGCCCGGTGCATTGTAGAGGCAGTGCGGTCTTGATCTTGCTTTTATTGCTGTCCGGAGGAGCTGTGCTGTGGGATTCATAGGCTTTTCTAATTCCTGTGTTTCGCTGGGTTTTATTTTTTTGATTCCTTAAATTCTCTGGTGGGAAAGGTTTGGAAACATTACCTGACTGAGTTAATTTCTGAACCTGCGATGCCTTCAGTTTGTACAGGCAGTAATTAGAAAGCAAGCACGCAAGATTACCCACGCAGTGAATAAATGCTGCGATTAACTAAGGTGGACTCTGCTTCAAGTCAGGGGAAAAAAAAATAAAAGGAAAAAGACAAGATGCTAAATATTGTACCTAAATTCTGATGCTACAGGAAGTTATAAAAATCTCATCCGAAGGAAAGGAAAAAGTGCTGCTGAGAACATGTAAAAAACATTGAAATGTAGCACCATTGATTTACTGTATAAGAAAACGATGAATCTGCCAAGAGTCAACAGATTGATTTAATGTATGATTCCAGATGAAAGGAGGGGACTTTAAAATGTACAGCAAAGCCTCCAAATGATTTCACAGATCTCTTCCCCTCCAGAAGTCTTTTAGTCTCTTGACTAAACCAAGAAAGGCCTTTAAAAACAAGTTAGCAGAATTGGCTGAACAAGAACAAATTAAGAGATGATGAGGGTTTGAATTTGTTTTGAAATATGTTCTTTACAGCTTGTACAGGGCCATGGCTCTAGCCTGGGGCAGTGTATTACTTGTTAAAGCCAATCAACATGTTTATGTTAGATTTAAACTTGATCTATAAATAGGAATTCAAAATGGATCTGAACGTCCTCTGTTTCAGATGTTAACTGCATCCCAGGCGTTGACTGGACCTCCCTTCTCAGGCATTAGCATTGCATAATGGCACACATTTTATAATGTTGGTTGGATTCGGACCAAAAGCCAGGTTCAGAGGTCCTGCTGGGACTCTCACTCTCCATCAGAAGACCTCACGGTCTAGACAAACCAGTAGGATGAGGGCTATCCTGCAGCAAAGCAGAGGAGCTGGAAAGCCAGATCAATTCAAATTCCAAATCCTTTTGGGTCAAATCCCTTTGGGTGACATTGGGTCTCTACTAGAGGTTAGTACCAGATGCTTTACAAGAGAGAGTCAGAAGCCCCCTAGCATACAGTTATAAAAAGATAATTGAGCGATGATGGACAGTCCGTCTTTTATATTGGATGGTGTCTGTGGATCAGCAGGGGAATTCAGGTCTGGTATTGGTGAGGGGACAAGGTGGGGAAGTAGCAGGCATGGCATGTGGCCGTGACAACAGGCTCGTGGATGTAAATGGAGCAGGGACTTTTGGAGCCTGGATCCAAAGTCTATCAGAAAAAACAGAAGGAATCTCACTAATTTCACTGGTCTTTGGACAAGACTCTAATCCCACAGACACTCAAGCAAAAAGATATCTCAGGGAATTTTTTGCAAAGACTCCTAAAATTAGGAAGATTTCTGTTCACACCCAAAAGCAAGGCCTTGCACTGGGTTAGTGGGAAAGATTCATACTGCTTTCCATTTCCTTCTGCTTTGGGGGAAAAGAGAGACTGTGAGTTGCCGGAGGATAAAAAGTCATGATTGTATTGGGATTGTTTTTAACACTGTGCCAGTACGTCCAGGAGCTGTGTGAGACTTGATTTGAGGTACCTGCTGGGAGCTAGCAGGTTTATAAAGTCTTTTACAGAGTTGTTCATGACCTGTGATGTTACAGTATATTCAGAAACCTTAAAAAAGAAAGGTGAATTCAGAGTGTGACTAGAGTTTCCCTTGGAGTCAGTACAGCCTTATGTTGCAAGGGCTTTTTAAAAATACCTAAGCCTGCTGATTGTAGACGTGACAGACTGCAGTGGTGCAGCATCCTCCAGTTTCCTGGAAAATTGTATATGCTGCTTCTGGGTACTATCAATTCTTCTGAAACATTCTGATGGGCAAAGGGACAAGGGCACCTCCAGAGAAGCAAACGGTGTTTGTTCGGGATAAGCTCCTGGAAGATGACGGGGCTCCCGCTGGTTGGCCATGATGGCCAGAGGGACGTGTTTAACTGATGTCTAAGCAGGACAGGGAGTTCCAGAAGGAATACAACTCAGAAAAGGGGAGGGAAGCCAGCCCGCAGATGTAACACTAAGTTAGGACGAGACCTAGATGTCTGAGTGAACCATTTCCAATGAGATCTGCTCTTGTCTGGTGTCGTCACCCCCAAGATTTGGGCACCCTGGACTGCTCCCCAGTCTGCTTAGTTTAGAGGTGCATGAAGGGTCTTGTTGAGTTGAAAAGAACAGCCTTAAGTTCATTTGCTTCCCTCTCTGCAGGGATTACAATGTTAGGCTCTAGTCTGGACTTGGAGGGTGGCTTTGAATCACCTCCAGCCTGGCCGGCACATCTGCGGCACCGAACGAGCAGCCAAAGTGGGAATATCTGCACGCGAGTCCAGATGATGTGGGGGAAAGCCAGCGTGGAGCTCTGCATGGGTTGTTGTCCACGATGCCTGTGGCTTCTGGCATGCCCTGCCATAAGGCACGATGGGACACCGTGCCCACCAATGTCACCTTCTGGTTTTGGGAAGTCCAAAGGTTACTCCTAGCAGCAGTGGAGGGACAACGTGCCAGCAAAACTTGTGTTCAGTCGGGGCTACTATTGCAACCAATTAAGGCAATACAATAAGATGGATCTAAAAAGACCAGGGAGATGTTTTTGTCTTACTTCAGCTCAATTCCTTCTGACAGGAAACCAGGCCTTTGTGTCTCATGGAAGAATTATTCTGAATTGTTAATCTTCTTCATACATTTCCGTGCTTGGTGATGACACACTCATTGTTGAGTTCGGCTGCTAACAAAATCATTATCTGTTGAGTGGCTTCAATTTGCTGAGAAACCAGTCCTCTTAGTGTATCTGAAACTTTCTGCTTAGAAAAGGGCATGCTGGAACATAATTTTTTCTTCTTCTTTGCATTGCTGTGATTTCCCGAACGCTTGGCTTCCCAGCTGTACCTCCAAATAGGTTCCATCCTTCCCTTTTCTCTGATGGGTTTACAGAATCTTTGCTATTTGGACATATATGTGTCATGGAGGACACGGAGCCAACCTCTAAGCCCCGAGCTCCTCAGAATTGAATGAAGAAGCATTAACCATATCCATTTTAGAGAAAAAAACATTTGATCTTCAGTTGGTGTGAGCAGTCTGCAAGCAGTTATGATGAGGTCGGTGGAGGTGGGGAGAGTTACATCTGACAGAAAGGAGGCAATTCTGCCCTTTGGTACTGAGGCTGGTATTACTGACCTAAATGGAGATAGCCCACGTGAACAGGGGTGCAAATACAGTTTATACCTTAAAGAGCTGGGCAAACCCTGTGCCTTCGGTGGCAGCTGGGCAGGGAAGGTGATCCTGGGCACGGCCGTTGGTGGTCCTAAGGCAGCAGATGCAGGTTTTTGGCTGGGGCATTGCTGCTTTTCATTGCCTTCAGGCTCTGGGCTAGGTGTGGAAATGCCTACTGGTCCTTCTTCCCTCAGGTGCAGCTCAACTGACCTGTTCTCCCCAAGAGAGGGAGTTTAATATGTGAAAGCCACGTGCTTCTGCTTTACCTGTTCAGTGCAAGTTATTTAATGCCCTTTAATTTCTAATTATTTATTTGTTCCTTTGGGATAAACTGGAAATGCAAGAGAAGGCTGGGGTCAGCAAAACAGCAAGGCAGGAGGGATTTTATTCGAGGAGAAGTATAATTACACTGACCAGATTTGCATAGCATTTTGTTGCAAAGATATAGATTACAAGTGCTGAAAAAGAGCTGATGACCTATCAGTAATAAGACACAGAGATGAGTAATTAAAAGGATGTGCAGCTAATGGCATTGGTTAGAGAAAAAAAATGTACAAGCTATATGGGTGGAACAAGGGCAGTTCTAAGCCCAAATTTACAGAGCAAGGTAACTTGACATTTATGTAGTTCTCCAGTTGACACAGGTTTTGTCAGGACTGAAAAGAAAGGGATTGATTAGCTGATTGTTCGTAGGAAGCACTTTTAAAGGACTGACTCATCCACATAGACACGACTGCCATAGTCTGCCTCTCTGAACACAGAAGTGAATTAAGGAGTCAGGGCATAGGTCATTTCATTTATTCAGAGCAGTTTTGATTGATTGAGATGGTAAAAAACCAGCTGGTTTGCCAAAGTGTGTATTTATCTTTTTTAAGTAGTCTTATCATTAAGTAAAATGCATTTTCATGAATTCTTATATTAAAAAAAATTTGGTCTGACTTTGGGAACACTATAATCTGGCCGTTTACATGATATCATCCATATGGTTCAGACTGGTATGACTACAAGTCAATCTTAAATACCCGTTAGCTCTCATCTGGGAAGTGAGCGCATTTACTGTCTGAGCCAAGACGGCCCTCGGTGTGCCGAGCGGACCCCAGCCCCTGCCGCCTCCGCGGGCCCCCTCCTACCCTCCCAGCCACCCGCTCTGCTCTCCTGTACGAGCCACCTTGAGATCCCTTGAAGTTAATGGCTGGGCTTGGATACATACCCATTGTGCATAGAGGAGAGGAATTTACATACCTCTACTGCTCAGCAACAATTATTAAAATCGCAGCAGACATCAGAGATTGCTGTAGTATCTGCTCATGCTTTTAATTAAGGGGATGTCTGCTGCGCAGTGGACTGTACATCCCAGCTACAGTTGCCTTCAAAAGCACCCCACCTCCTTTCCCAATGTGGGTCCGTTGTTAAAAGGAACTCCAAAAGTGCTTGAAATTGGAGAAAACAAGACTCCAACGATCTGCTCCTATACATGCTGTACAGTTAGGGTGCTTATGGAGCCTGTAGTGGTCAATTGAAGAAGACAAAGACATCTCAGGGAGTACAGTTCCTTTTTAGTCCTGGTCGGCAGCTCAAAGCCCTCCCCTGTGCTCTGCACCCGCTGAATAATCTGTTGTCCAGTTAGGATTACCCTGCTCGCTGCTCAGATACCGCAGTGCCGAATCTAATACAGAGCAAAAGACGATTTTGTGTCAAGGAAGCTGACTGTAAGTAGATCCACATGTCGGATTTTAAAGCGGTTTTGCTTTTTTCCCACAGCTATGAAATCAGGAGGCACCCAGCTGAAGCTGATCATGACGTTCCAGAATTACGGACAAGCATTGTTCAAACCCATGAAGTAAGTAAAAAAAAAGTCTGTGTTGTAAAGTGAAGTTGTGGGGGGAATACCCTGTTGCCGTTTTCAAAGCAGTTAAAAGTTTGCTGTGGTACCTCTCAAGGTTAATGTGTCTGGTTCCCTGGGCTTGCTGCTGAACGTGGAGCTGTTGAAACCTTGCACTACTAGACTGGTCTTTGGAAGAGATACTGAGGAGGCTTCAGATACATTACAGTCTTCTCAGGAATGTTATTCAGTCTGTGAAATCTCCCTTCATAAATACAGGATGTTTTCAGCATTTCTTTCGTATGTAAACGTCCTCCGCAGGTCTGAGCTTTATCAGTGTTCCCCTGGAATATGACCAGACAAGAGAGATGGTTCAGAACAGCTTTGGGAAGAGCTAAATAGTATTTGTCTGATAAATTATAATTTAATCCTTTGATTTATTGTTGTTTGTATTAAAGGGATGTACTAGTCATTTGGCTGTGGCTATGCTGACTCTGTGAAAATGAGTTTATCTGCGAGTGGTATTGCAAGGTAATGAATCTAGAGAGAAAGGGAAGGAGTCGGGTGGTGCAGCCTTGGTTTGTTCCTGCCCAGCTCCCATTGACATGAGGGAAGTTATTCAGATACAAAGCAGATGTAAATGAGTTCTGAATCCTGACCTGTATGTTTGTGTTGTAGTAAGGAAAATGACTCCGTGCTTATTGTAGAGGGTTTAGCAAAGACACTTGGGGCTGCAGAATGTTTAATGAAGCTACTCAGTATCTGTGTCAAGGGTACCACTGGAATAATAAATTCATTTCCTTCTTTTGTTCCCACTGTAGGGAATTTGAGTTAATTTTCTCAAAGATGGTCCATAAAAGACTAAAGTAACCGAGAACGAGTGGTTTGGAATATGTGTTGGCATAGTGTTACAGCTGTAGCGGGGAGCACAGCTCAGGTGGTACGCTGCTGGCTGGAGACTGAGAAATTCCCTGTTTCACTATGGATGTTGCTATAGACTGACCTCAGACAAGTACAGATTTGACTTGATCCTATTTGACTGCCAGAAGGGCCAAAAAATCGATCCCACTTTCCTTCAATCCAAGTTTGAGCAGGAACCCTCCTTATGTGCATTCGTCCTGGGAACCACAAGGAAATCCTGTGCCCGTCCAGGCAGCACAAGGCATTCGTGCAAAGGCCAGGTGCCTCTGTGTTATTTTTCCCAAATTGCACACAAGTTTTTCCATGTTTCTAGTGGACCACTGATTGCCTGGGAGAGGTCAGAGGAAGCACAGATAATACTGACAAGTCACGAGGGAAGGTGGTGTCGGAGAGCATCTACTCCAACATCTTCCCTTCCTCTCCCCGAATGCTGAGGCCATCAGATCATCAGTGCATGGGTCCATCCCCTGTGTCTGCAAGTTTGATGCATATAGGCACAATCCTTAATTGCGTCTTGTCCCACGTGCGAAATCAGGAACCAGGCGGGTTTGAGCAGCCTTTAAGTATTTGGCAGAATCGTGGTTGCGCTGTTGGCTTTTTACATAGCATGTGATTTGTTTCTTCTCCATTTGCTCAGATGCAGATAATCTCAATCTTTATCATTGGTATGACATTGTAATTCTGGGAATGCTAATGAGGTCAAATCAAAAGCGTACTGTTTCTACTGTACTATACACTGCCTTGGCAAGATGATGGATGACAATAGACATATAGCCACGTTCCTGTGTAGAAGCAATTACTACCATCCGCTAGAACAATAACAGAAAATGATGATGTCTTAATCATTCCCTTTGCTTGATTTGAAGGGCAGCAGCACCCTATTTTCTCACTACTCTTTGCGTCACATACACCACTGGAAAAAGCAGTGTTAGAGCATTCAGCAGCTGTGTTCCCAGGCACCACACCTTCCAGGAGCAATGCTGCTGTGTTTGTGCTGAGCATCGCTGAACACATTAGTGATTTTGAATAAGGACGTTTGCAAGCATTCGTCTTCATTCTCGTAAGAGTGAACAGGGAGCCAGATGCTCAGCTAGCGTAAATCTTCCTGGCTGCTTTGGCCTCTGGTCCCATTGGCCTCTTTCTCCAGCTTATGAACCGTTGTTGATGAAGTTCTTGAAGAGGTTTGCAGCATCATTCCTTTATACAGAAATAAGCAGCCTAGAACTACAAAAAAAAAAATAATCAGGGTTTAAAGCTATGAGACTTCTTGTAGGACTTTCTTCAGGCCTTGGACACCTTCCAGGCTGTTTCTGGTGCTCCCTCTTTTCTGCAGGGTACCCTTCTGATCCAGGCTTCACAAAGCTGGGTGTGCCTTCCCAGGACAGGAGGCTGTAGGGACCTCACAGATCAGAGCCAGGCATCTCTGGTCATCAGGACCGGCAGTGTAAAGGACATTTTTTTCTAAATAGTTTAATTTGAGGACCATAAAATATCATCCTGGTGGCTATTTCTAAGATCAGCTCATTGAAGGAAGCCCTTGGAGGATAGTCAGGACATCTCCTATGTGTTTCAGTTGTTACCAGCTCCATGGCTTTTCAAAACAGCAGAAATCATACGAGCAGCCTTCTTCGTGCATCCCAGGTAACACAACCATTACATAGCACTGAGTGCCCAGCTGCAATTGAAAACTGGGGCTTCAGTTCATCCCTTTGGTATTGGAGGGGGCAATATAATTGCACCTCCATGTTAAACTGAACTGAGCCACTGCTTTTTAGAGAACAGAGTTGGCATCAGTAGGAATTCAGGCCTGATCCCAAGGAAAATTGATAATCCAGCATTTCCCACCCTGTCTGGGATCCGAAGTACTGAAAGCTGAATGGCATGAGGTACAGACAGGGTAATATGTAGACATGAGGCCAGTCTCTACCTGGATTTGATGCATTTGAACTATCTGGAAAGCTGGTTTTGCTATACACAGCTGTACTCGGCATCTTCCAAACTGAATTAACACCTGCTTGAGCAGGATTGCAGCAGACAGGGGAGACCGTGCAAACCCTCCCCTGACTCGGCTGGGCATCTGCTGGTGGAAGGGGAGGTCTGCAGACCTTTGCAGTGACTTCTGCAGGACAGTCAGTGCAAACCCTACTCCCTGGCAAATTGCTTGAAACCCTGCAGAACTCATCTGACTTGCTCTGCCCTTTCCCAGCCTCCCAATTCTGCATTGAATTTATCCAGGGAGCAAGCCAGCTCCAGAAAGGCCCAGGCAGGATTTGGAAATGGGGAAACCAGAATCTCTCTTTGATACCTTTTGTGCTCAGTGTTTGACATTAATTGACGACTCTTCATCTGGTCATTAATTCAGGCTAGTGGAGCAAAGGAGAGGAGGGAAGCTTAACAGTCAGGGAAATGTGATAGCGGTAAATAAAGCCTGATCATCTGCAATTATTTTATTTATTCGTGGCTCTGCATCTTCATTTCTGAAATAATTGCCCATAAAGTATTGCAGAGGAAGCCAAATCTATTTATAAATCCTATGGCCCAGCGTAGATTCCTTTGCTAATTCCAAATGCATCATAGAAAAAGCGAATATTTGCTAAAACTCCAGGGAAGATTTAATGTATTTGCAATGTATCTTACAGTTAATGTGTAGTTTTATTTAGCTCATAACAGTTCGATCATACAAAATTATTACCATATGGGACAGGAAAAAAATAGCAACCTCCCCTTCTCCCGTGATTAGTGTGTCTAACTGTACTAGTATTGTATAGCATAATAAAATTTATTTACGTGATCGCTGATATCTGCAACCATAGCTTTCTACATGACTTATCAGGTAGGGATGGTGCAGAGCCATAAATTTCAAAGAGTTTTGGCTTATTTGTCCAGAACGAACATGCGCTTTATAGTTTTATTTGGTTTCCCTTTGTTTCTGCTAGCTGGTGAAGTTAAATAGCTGGCTCAGCAACAAAACCAACACACTATTTTTTTTCCTCCCAAGGCTTTATTCTTGAAGGGGGAGATTCTGCTCCAGCAGAGTCAGTGTTAGGATTCCTGTTGCGTACACTGGGGCCAGGAGTTTGAGAGAGTTTTGTACAGTTCTTATGGAAAAGCCAAACAGGATCGAATAGAAAATGATACCCTGTTACTGGAGTTGTGAGAAAAGTGTCCTGTGGTATATGTTTAAGAATGACATCTCTCATTCCCAGTTTTATAGACTGCTTCGTAGAAATGTGTAGAAAGGGTATTCATTATAAAATCGTTGAGGTTTATTTTTTCCATTCAAAGAAATAGTCCTGTATCTAGTGAACTCACATTTGACTGAAACTGAGATAAAAGCCAGTTCTGTTCCAACTTTAGATTTTTCCAGATATTTTTAACATCTTGTTTCTTTTCTTGTGTTTTTACAAGTCACAGTACAGGATTGGTAAGAGCCGCGCGGCTGTTTCTTCTAGTAGCTGAGGTTCACAGTTAAAGTCTTTATTAAAGTAGAACCAATTAGCATCAGGGTGATATCAGGCCAGAGGAGACTTCGGGGGTCATCTCCTTGAATCACAGGCGATTGTCTCATGAAATCCCATGCATTAACTGATCAAACACTGCAGACCAATTTTTTTTTTTGTCCTTTTTTGCCTTGCCATCCTTCCTGAAGCTCACTGCTGCAGAAATCACACTACCCACTGGGAGCATCTCCTGGTTCCTGCAGCCCTCAGAGACACGACCCATCCCAGTGCCAGCCACAAAATAAACTGGTGGTCACGGTCTAGTGCAAAGCTAGTGCTCTACAGAAATAAAACTAGCACACTCACCTCTCTGCTTCTGTAACATTCCTATAGCATATTTTTTGGCTCAAAGACAGGGGCACTGTTAGCTGGGCTGAAATCTAGCAGCCAAGGTCATGGGGAAGATAATATTTTTGTTTCGATTGGCAAAGCACAGCTTTTTACTGGCTTTTAAATGTCACGGCAACAAAGGATTAGCAATGTTCTTTAAGTTTCCCTTTGATTTTCTTTTAGGATTTCTCAACAAATAATGCATCTTTTGATAGGGATATTAAATAGGCCAAACAATCGCTGTAATACAAACAACTGTTAATCGCT